ATATATATTACAATATATATATATGGTAATTATTTATTAAGATTAAAAAGAAAGAAATTATATATTCATGAAGTTTAATACATAAGAGCATACACATGTAACTATTCTCTCGTGTTGAATAATTAATGAGTTTAGATAGACACTTATATAGGATTAGAATTATTAATTGCACAATGTACTTTTATATAAGACTACAAAATCATTCAAAATATGTTAGATTCATTTATATTTTGTATTAAGGCGATTTTGTTATTAATTATAGAGAAGAAATTTTTAATTGTTTTATTTTTAATAGAATAAAAATTAGATTTTTTTTCTTTAGGTAGAGAAGATATTATATATATATTATTGCAACACATTTGAGCATGATCAAAAGTAATATTTTATAGGAATATCAAGATTGTTCTTTTGTGAATCACTCTGTATATTTATGATATTTCTTTTTTATTTAAAAAGAAAAGAATATAAATAAGAAGAAAAAGAATACGTAACATTGTTGCAAGATAAAATGTATAATATTGTGTTAATATTACAATTAATTTATTATTAACATATCGAACAATGTAGGTTATTTTTTTTTTTACATAATAAAAGTTGTTTTTCTTTCTTCTGATGAATGAAATAATAAATAATTTTGTATTAACAAGATGTATATAAACAAAGTAAATTTTAGACGTGAACTAAATGGACAAAGCTATTAGATAATTGATCATCGAAGAAAATTTTAATAGAAAAACTTATCCAACCGTATTTAAATCATGTTAAATGTCGTTTGTCATACGTTTCAAATTAATGAACTGTGAATAAATATTATACACATGTGATAGACGCACGATAGATCGTACAACCGATAATTATATTATTCCTTGAATTTCCAATAAGGAATTACTGGAAGAATTAAAAAAAAAAAAACAATTTTTAAAAAAGAAGAAACAGTGACGTTGTAAATTGCTATAAACTTATAGTTTCTCTGACGAAGTTGTTATATAAATGATTCTGTATGTACTAAGGAATGTATTACGTTTGTTAATCAGAATGATCATGTTCTAATTTTGCAATAATCTATTACAAACTTAATAATAATAATATTAATTATTATTATTATTATTTTTTAAAGAATAATAAATAAATCAATAAATTGTTTGTGTGTGATAACAATTCGTAAAATTGTATCTTCTTCATTGTAGTGTCTGTAAACTTTTATACAAAGTATAAAAATATTCTTTTCAATATGATAACGAGTTACCAAAAGGAAAAAGAAAAAACACGAAATTTATTTGACGATAAGAGAAAGAGACAGAGGTATTATTATCATCATCGTCATGTCATGGTCAATGACATCAAATTATCACCAAAAAAATAGATATACTTTAATTGCGTAATTTAAATGCGAGTCATGTTTATCAAATGTATTATATTTCGAAGTATACAAAAATATTTTCTAACCAATAAACGTATCACACGATTGTCATCTCATCTCATTAAAATTTATTTGTTAATTTAATTCAATCCAAATCTATTTTTTTGTATTACTCATTTTTTAATTTCATCTCACCTGATAAACCACGCCCCTTTTCTCGCGTTTCTTAGTTTCCGCCTTGTTCTTCCAATCCATCTGAATAAAAAGTTGAATGAAAAATTTCACTGATCTCTCTCTAGTATATTCTTTTATAATAACAAATTTTTATTTAAAAATAATAATTAAAATAATTATACAAAATTTGAGAAATTTAATCTCACGATCTGTCGACAGACTTTAATGATTGTTTTATCAGCAATGTTTTTTAATTACAAATAATCGTCAAAAAATGATAAATACAACAATAATATATAATTACGAAAATTGAATACTTTTGTTCTATTTGTGGTAAACAAAAATTATATGCCAAAAATAGGAAAAACAATTCCATTAAAAATACATTATCTCGAAAATATATTTTAAACTTTAAATTGTATCGCAAAGATTGCAATTAAAAAAAAAAAAATAAAAAAGAAAAAAGAAACAACAATGTGTACCGACACTACTGAAAATAATATTAAATTTATTTTATGATGACAATGAATTTATTTATACGTATTTAAGATGCTATTAACCTATATAATTATTTTATTGCAAATTAATTATTCGGAATTATAAATATATTGAAATTGATTATATTATATGTTCTCGTAATGATTTTAATCGGTATGATCAGTCGATCGTTAATTATTATTAATTAATTGACTAGAATAATGAATAATAAATAAGATAAGATACCTTGATATCCGTTGGCACCATGTTTCCGTTCATGATGTGTTTTTCGAAAATCTTTCGTACTTTATTTTCAACTTTTAATCAATGACAATGATAAAAAAAGATCTACGCGTGTATGTATGCGTATGTATGTACTTATGTATAAAATAGGAAATGAAATTTGAAGAGACAAGATAAAATAAAAAAAAAAAAAAAGAAGAAGAAACAAAATAGGGAAGAATGAGTGAGAAAGAAACGATTAGATTTTATTTAATCACAATGATTTATAATCTTGAGTTATATGCAATGACAAAGTCTTATCTAAGAACTTCTTTATCATTCAAAATCACAAATACAAAAATAAATGCGAATATATAAACAGCAAAAATAAATAATAAATTAAAATATTTCAATTATTCTATCGTCAATTGTCTATTCGTTTAATCGATCAATAATCGATCGATATAATAATATCTCAACTTTTATGCTTGAAATCGGTGTCGTTCGTTTGAGAAAAATCAAATTTGAAAAAGTTGAAATGTTCGAGAAACATTACTACAATAATAACTACGTTTATTAACATAATGTTAAAATAAAAAATAATTTTGTTAGAGAACGGTCTATATATGGAAATAAATTAGAATAACAATTATTTTTCAAATTGGTTCAGTTCACCCTTTGAACTTTGATAATCGCGAATAATGTTATCACTCGTTATTTTCGTATTAATCATTATAATTAAAATTGATCGTTATGTTTAAAGAAAATATACTTTCTTTTCTTTTCTTTTTTTTTTCTTTATAAGTTATATAGTTCAACGATTATTATTTTCTAGTTTATTGATCACTATGTCACAGTAGATGTTAAAATTAAAAAATGTAATTGTCGATCGTTCACAAATGTAATTTGAAAATCGAATTCTTTAATCTTCTTTTTTTTCGTAACAAAGCTTTCGAAATCCTTATTTCGTTGGAACAAAAAAAAAAAAAGGTAAACTTGTAACAATGTTAAGTAAAAAAATAAATTTGAATACGAATACTTATGGTCGAGGAGTACTACTCAAAGATTCGTTATCGACTGAAAGCAATTCTGGTTTTATCTACTTCAACGACTTTTGTATTAAAACCAAGTTCCCCCATCATTATATCTTACGCACATTCTATGAACTGATCGTCTCTCGTTACGAGAAAAGTAAGAGAGGGATAGAGAGGAGTGAATAAATCCCTCCCACGAGAGGAGGAATGATATCAAGCATTAAAAAGAGAAAGAGAGAGAGTGAGAGAGAGAGAGATAAGTAAGTAATTATTATTTCTTCACATTTCTTCAGATAAACAAACATTCTTATATAAGAGATCTAATAGGTAATTAATAAAAGATGATGGAAACAATAAACGTACGATCAGAGAACAAAAGGGTTAATATTATTTTTGTATATATGTTTAATTAAGACTATTTAATATTTGTATGTTTTTATCTTTGTATTAATTATTAATCTTTTGGGACAAGAGAGAGAGAGAGAGAGAGAGAGAATGGTTATTAATAAATAAATAAATAAATATATTAATATTCATATACGCATTAAAAAATCGATAAATACATTTATTAGGTATACTTTATAGTGTCCCAAATTATTTTTTGATAGATATTAGGAAAGACTTTTAAAAAAAATAATATGTTAAATAATAAATATGATTATTTTATAGCATACGAATATATATATATATTTAGTTTATCTTAAAAGATAAAAATTTAAAAAATAACAATACCTTGATTTTAAATAATTCCTCAATATGTCATCATCGATATTTTTATGAAATATCGTAAACAACATTTGTTTCTTGCATGAGTGGATGTATATGGCCTTAGAAAGTCTTACATTAGATGGATTAAAAGTGTTACTAATAATTGTGACTTAGAAAAATTTCATCTTTGCACACTTGTCTAAGAGGATCAAATAGGATCAAATTCATTAAACAATGAGATACTTCCTGAAATCTCAATGTTCTTCAATCATCAAACAATAATCGTATGCAAATTACATAAATAGTTTCATGTGCTTGGATTTAAATATATTTCGATTAAATATGAATATTTATTTTTAATAAAATATTTAATATTTGTGCGTATATCGATTTATCAAATATTCAAATTAATCAATTATATAAAAAAAATTATGTAAAAAATAATCTCTCGACCTATCCATTAAATACTGACCTTTCTTTAAATTTTTTCACCGCAAATAAGTTGACACAGAACCTCAACAGCAGAAAGAAAGAAATATATGCTTTTAATGCACCACTTAATTGCTAGAATCTATCCGTTCGC